ATATATATATATATATATATATATATATATATATATACACACACACACATACATATTTGCTGTATTTATTATTATCAATATTTAATGTTCTTTTTTCTTAATTACGAAATTAAATAAAAACATGGTGCTTGCTTATCAAAGTGGTGTCTTGATTGATTTTATTTCCTCACGGGCCAGTGAGGAAATGTTTACTTTTTCTATACAAAGTAGTGTTCTTATGTCCTAAGAGTTCATGTGACTTCGAAGAGTCTTAAAATGGAGCTATTATTACAGGCACTAGGAAAATGTGATTCATAATGATCCTTGGATTAGACTGTTGGACAATGACAAACTGTTTTAAATAATTTCTTGGAAAAAAAAAAATGCAAACCTTAAGAGATTTCAGAAAATGATGCAGAAAAGGCGGGGGAGTCTTTGGGCAAAAAGCCAACACTGTAACTGTGACAAATAACAGGATATGACAGGGATCCAGTGCTATAGGGCAGAGTGCACAATGGCCTGCCTGAAGCTAGAAATTCACATGGTGTTCTGTAAGGGCAAATGTGATTAGTGCCAAATCCAAACCAAAACCAAACGCACTGCTGTGGAGTCGAATCCTACTCATAGCGACCTCTCCTTGGGTTTCCGAGGTGATATCACTATGGAAATAGATTGCCTAAGTGCAAGTTGAAGACTGATGGAACATTTTCTATTCAACTGTTCCTAAGCTTAGAATTAACTCTGCGGAACAAAATTTATAAAACTTACAAACTAACAAATTAAAAACTAGCAAATGGTCCCAGGGAGTGTCTTACATATACCCTCTTCCCACCTGTATCTGGAGCACGGCCAGGTCAGCATCCAGGGACCTCTTGGATGGCAGTAATTTTTCCGTCACATGAATCTGTCTTTGCTTCTCAGCAATGTTCAGTTTCAGGAATCGGATTTTTTCTTCCAGAATATGTATTTCAATTTCTCCATTTAGTTTCATTTTCTCTTGGATATTTATTTTTTCATAAAAAATGCACAGTTCTTCCTCCCGCTCTATCAGCTGAGCACCACTAAAGTTAATATAAAGGCAGACACTAAATGGGTTTAGAGGCCAGTGCTTTACAAGTCACTGTAGTCCCTTCTGCTTTGGGCACACAATACACATCCAGATTGCATCATTCCAAAAGACAATAGATGTTTACGGGGGGCTTTCTAGTGAAACCACAAACTTTGAATTTTGGGGCAATAAGAGAAGGGAAGGTTGTTTAGTATCTCAACTTAGAAGCAGACCATGTGCTTGGCTGGTCTCAACAACTGCAAGTCTCAAAAGTTTCCCTAGGGTGAGAAAGAATGCTATTCCCAATGTATGAACCAAGTGCTTCCATGGTCTGATTTTCCACCGATCCTTTTCTTGGGCCAGACTTGCCAACCAAGGCATCACCCAAGCCAGAGGCATGTAGGCAGGGGGCCAGGGAATGTGATTCTGCAGCAATTCTGCTCTATATTACTTACTGGGCCCAATGTTTTCAAAAGTTGAGTATTTCTGATACTGATTTCCCATAAACAGGCAATTCTCTCCTCTGCCATCATGCCAGAGGAAAAGCCTCCTTGAGAACAGAGTATGGGGAGGAAACAAAGTGAGAAGTCTAAGTGCAGCAGTTCTGGTTTGCATGACTGCTTATGCCCATAGACCTGACTGGGGCTTGGGAGCGCACTGCACTGCCTGCTTGAACATTTTGATTTGTGCCAGGAGCCAAGTAAGAGAATATTTTTCCCCAGAGAAAACACCAACCAGCCCTTTGAAAGTGTGCTATTCTATAAATGACCCTAAAGTCTTCCACCTTTAATTGCTTCTGTTTTTCTCTGTCCTCCCTCAAAACGTGTGCATAGCGTAATCTTAGCTCTGTATTTTGTCTCATTTCCCTTTCATTGACTCTTCTCTGATCAAGACGTCCTGACAACAGAGAGTAGGAGCAATGTTTTACTACTTTTTGTACTCTTAGTGTCTAGCATCCCACTGCCTTACACAGAAGAGCACACAGTCAATGTTGGATGGAAAATCTGATACCAGATATAATTACTACAAGATTCTACAATCTCACATTCCAGATTTCTCAGAGCACAAGCAACTTGGGGAAACTGCTAAAATATTAATTAATTGCAGCCTGGAAGAAATAACACTACTCTTAAAGGTTTTATCTACTGACTGAGAAAATGAACTAGAAGAAAAGCTTAATAAATATCATAAGAAGACCAAACTTGCCACAAAATGGATAGAAGATCCAAAGAATTACTTATGTCAATCACACCGAAGGAATTTGGTGGTATCACAGGCATCCTGAAAAGCAGCCAAGGCGAGGCCTTTGATCTTCAAGTGAGCAACTTCTCAAACCCCTTTTCTGCCCCTCCCTCTTAATACAAAACACCAAACCAGCTGCCATTGAGTCGGTTCTGACTCATAGCAACCATACAGGACAGAGTAAAATTGCCCTATTGGGTTTCCAAGGCTTTAATCTTTATGGAAGTAGGCTGCCACGTCTTTCTCCCATGAAGCAGCTGGTGGGTTTGAATTGCCGTCCTTTGGGTTGGCAGTTGAGTGCTCTAACCACTGTGCGAACATGGCTCCTTCCCCTCCCTCTTACTAAAGCAATATTTCTTATTTTCAGGCATAAAACACATCTCCCCCAAAAGGCTAATGAAAATGGAATGTCAAATTTAGTACGCTACCCACTGTCAAGTCCAGGTAGAAAGAGGGGCAACATTTCTGCATTGGATATCTGGCTGCCTAGTCTTCACACTAGGTTTTTACCATTCATTACGATGCTGAACGGCTTTTTCGTATCTTTTGCGAAGCTGCACCATCTCCTCTTCAATCATTGTGATCATATTGGCAAGCCTGTCAATGTTACTTAACTGGGCTTCCTTCTTCTCTTTCATTTCCTGAAGTTTTGCGACAATTTTGCACACGTCGTTTTGCATGCTCTGCCGGATGGTAACATTGTTCGAATGCTTCAGCATGCAATTTTGCAGCTTTCTTTAAAAATAATGCGACAATGGGTAAGATGATGCTTTGTCTTTCTTTAAAAGCAATGAGTGTTTCTGAAATGCAAACAGTGTCAAAGCAGTTCTTGCTCTAGTGTTTCCCTTAAAATTACTTGTCAGGAATTTTTGTAATCTTTCCAGGTCTCAGATCCGCCCTCCATCTGGATTAGGACAGCTGTCCTTTTGTGCCCAAGCACCGGCCACCTCCCTATATCAAAGAAGAGGCTGTGGTCATTTATAAACTGCTGTGTTGTCTACAGGGGACTATGCTCTCTTGAGGGCAGAGATAGGGGACCTAAAGGTAGTACCTGGCTCAACTTAGGGTTAAAATAAGTGCCAAGTGTCAAATGAATGCAAGGACTCTATAAATCATAGTTTACTTTCATGTGGAATAAGAACTTGATTAGGAAATTAGATTTTCCTTTTCATACCAATCTCCTCTCCCCTACTCATGAGAGGCCATTTTGTGGTATCTTTATTAAAAGAAACAGGGCAGTAATAATGACCACCAGAAGAAGTGCAGGCTGTGTAGACTTAGTAGACCAGGAACTAAACATAAGTGAAAGAGTCCAGCAGATCTTGGCATGCAGTAAATAGTATTTTAAAAGGAACCATTTGCCAGACACTCTTATAAGTGCTTTTACATGGATTAACTCATATAATAACCAAAAAAATCCTATGAAATAAGGATTATTTTACAGACAAAGAAATTGAGTCCAGAGACATAAGGTCACCTGCCCAAGGTCATACAGCTAGGAAGTGGCAGGGCTGGGATTTGCATTCAGAAAGCTACCTCTTTTAGCCACTGTGCTACAATGTCTTCCACAAAAACGTTGTTTGTTGTTGTTATATGCTGTCGAGTCATACCCGACTTTTTCCGAGGCATTAGATACTTCAAATCTATTCATTTGAATACTGTGGATGCTGGCTAATAAAACATAGATTGTCTTCTAACTTCAAATGCAAATCATCAAATGTGTGCTGTTTAGTTGGGCAAGTGAAAATCATCATAATGATCATAGTTACATACACCGTATGTTAGTTTTCATTCACCTAAAAAATACATAGCTCCCAAACAGTAGAAGCATAAGGAATTGTTTTCAGATGCTTAGATTATCACCTATAAAGCAAGGTGGTTGAATAATGGCTTTTCCAGATTTCTAAAAGACTATTACTATTTACTATTTTTTTTTATTCCTAGGATATGTTGTTGTTGTTGTTATGTGCTGTCAAGTGATATACTTCTGATGAATCAGAAGACATGCTTTTGAAAAGGACAATAGTTACAACACTCACCTTTCTTGAGTAACTGCACTATTCCTTAAAATTTCCAGTTCATTTAATGACATTTTGTGCCTCTCTTTAATTTCATTTACTTTCTGGTGAGCTTTGTGAAGTAAATTAACAAATTTGTTTCTTTCATTTCGAATACTGTCATACAGTTTAGCAAACTCTCTGAGTCTGTAAAAATACAATGTGTTTTTGGAACTTTTAAATCCAAGGTTTTTTTTTTTTTTTTCCTTTCACAAAAATAGATTAATCATTAAGTAATTTTTTACCTTCGATGGATTTCACGTTTTTTCTTCTTGTATATCCTGATTTCAAGATCCTTTGCTTTGATTTCCTTAGTAACGTTGGTATATTTTTGCTGAAATGTAAAAATTATGTGTGAAAGAGAGATAAAAACCAACAACAGATGAGTACCCCAAGCCCACACCTTCCGCCTCTCTGTCTGTTCAGGAACATTCTGTCTTGGCCTGTTGAGTTGTGCAGATCAGGTTGAGGGGTGAGGGAGAAATCTGAAAGTTGCTTGGCCAGCGGAATTGATTCACACTGAATAGATCTAAGGGCTCTTTAACAGGAAGAAAAGAGAAGAGCCTGCACAAGTTAGGTCAAGGAAAATGTTGGGAAACTTTTGGGAGAGAGGAAGAGTGATTGTGGAAAGCACAGCTTTCTGGATGAATTCTGGGAGAGTGTGGAGCTTGTGGAAAATAGACAAGGGAAGAGGAATTGTAACAAGTTTTGATAAATGCTATGAATTGAAACCTCTGTGATATTTTCTGAGAGACTTGAGTAATGATTTTGAAGTGCTTTCTCATTATGTTGTATTTGGTCATGTTTTCCTACACAGTGAAGTACCACACTGAGACCAGCCATCAGGAGGTGTTACACAGATTATACACGATTATTTGACAAGACAGTGATTATACTTCTGAAGTCCTAGGAATATACCCAGTGCAAGATACAATAATTATGTTCTCCAAGTTGAAAGACATTAGGTCTTTTATCTCAGATATGAAACTTTTTGAAAGATTAAGTATCTGCTGATAGAAACCAAAAGGAAAAAGTTGCTGTCAGCTTTTCTTCTAAGATGTGAAAGCAAAACTCTATTGTCACGAGTGATCCAAAAGAAACTAGCCATCAGAGCAATTTCACTTTATGTTGTTCTCAGTGAAAACAGGAATCAGAGAAGAAGCTAATATTAATAAAGTAACTGTATGCATAAAGAATTAAGCACGTGAGAAAATATAGTGTCATCTATCCCATCTTGGGAGTGATAGAAATATTGTTTTTTTTCCTTCCATCATTTGTCTTCCTTCAGGGATGTAGATGAGTTGCAAAAATAAAATGTAAGATTGACCATCTTCTGGAAAATACATCTAATTATAGTTAATGTTTGACTAATTCTTAATACTAAGGATACTTCATTTCAGGAAGAACCAAAATTTTCCCTTTATTGATTTTTTTTTATTGAATTTCTTTCAAGAGGAAGAACTGTCTTGGGTTTTTATATACATTAGCCGAGGTTTGGTCTACATAAATTAGTCACAGATATCCCATGTGTTAACTTTTGAAATTACTTAAAAATTATCTAATTCATAAAACTAATCAATGTTCCTTGTAACAAATAAATACACCTCTAGAGTGTCTTAAATTTCTAAAGAGAGAAAAAGAGGATATTTCTAATTAGGAAAGACTCATGTGAGTGGACTCTTCCCAGCCAATACCAGGCTGTAACGAAAACACTTTACTGGAGCAGGCCCATCCCGGATCCTGACCTTGATGATGACAGTCTCCACTTACTCTGCTCTCTCACCTCCTTGTTTAGACCCTGCCCTTCCTCCCTCAGCTATTCTGATTCTTTAGGTTGTCTTGTTTTCCTCTGTTCCTCTCTGAGCACTGTCTTTCCTTTCTTTTCTTTATTGAAACTCAACAATCCCATGAAGTCTTTTTGGCCTGCTATAGCCTTCATGATAGAGTCCAGACTGTTGTATCCCATGGAATATGTGGGCTTCCCTGCTTTCTGGACTCAGTATTTGATATCCCTTCTCCCCACGTTCCCATGCACCACCCATGCTGAACTTTTAGTTTCTCAAATGTTTTCAGGGAATGACAATAAAAGAGCTAAATGAGAATTTGAAGAGTTTGCTGTGAGGTCTTTATAAAACCTTTATTCTCACTGTTCACTAATGCTTTGGTGTAAATTCTTTCTGGAGAATGAAAAGAAATGCTGCCCCCATATAAATACTTGTCCCAAAGAGAAAAAAAGATGGCTCTTAGAAACAGTCAACCTCTGATTCACATGATAAATTATTATTGTCTATTTTAGTAATATGTAATATTTTAGTAATATCCTCAAAATAGGAAATATTCATTTTTAACAAGGAACTTCTCGGCATAATCTTTATATGAGATAAATGATTCAAATGTTAGAATTTTAGCTAGCATGACAGGAGCTCCCCCCCACCACCTTGTTATATTTTGTTTTGGTTTTTGGGTGCTTCAGTAGGTCTGTTCTGTCATCTTATCAGGACCCTAGAAGAGTCATGGGTTGAAGCAGCAACTAAGAGTGTAATGGTGTTTGTAAATAATACTGGCTTAACAAATTTGGAAGGGAGAGCCATCAAATGCTACCATTCTTGAGTGGTTTCTGGGGAAATCATCGTGGAATCTGAGATTGTGGTGAATTATAGATGATTTCTCTGGCCTGTGTAGCTGCCAGCCCTGTCCATGGAAGTACTTGCTTTATTCTTATTGAAATTACCATCTGTTCAAATCTTCTGCTCATTCTCATTGATCAGTCCTTTCTCCCTCTAGATTGTTGATTTGCTATTAGACTACTTTCAGTGTATGATTGAGTCCTGTTTAGGGAAGACTTACAGTTACTGCAACTGAAGGAGACTTCTGATTGTAACTTTCCCGTGAATATTGCATTATAAACGAGGCTACCCTAAACTCTTGTAGCAATAATGAATGGTTACACAACTGCAGTTACCTGCGCTTTCAGGAAATCCTTGGACTTTTGCTCTCTTTCATCAACTTTGATTTGAGTCACTCGAACAAGGTTGAACACCAGATCACGCATGTTTTCCTGATCTTTTAAAAGCCTGTTTTCTTCTGCAAGTTGCTGTTCTACTAACTTAGACTCAGCTTCTGATAAGATTTTCTTTTGAAAAATACGAAATAATAATTATTATTTATTTGTCTGAATGAACACAATAAGACCAGCATCTTAGACTATCTTTATTTTCTGTGTAGAATGTATTTTATTACAACATAAAACAAAGAAATAGCCCCTGCCTGAGCTCCAAGTTGCTTTTTTTTTTTAAAAAAAAAAAAAAAAGAAGGAATGTACTAATAGTGGGTTAACATGATTGAAATTTTTCTTGTTTGGGTTGTATTTTCAAGTACTTTAAGAAAAAGATGAGACATAAAAGCATGTTTCAAAATATTTTGAAAGTGGCTTGAATAAACAAAAATTGAAAAACTAGATAGTGAAATAAAACATTTGTTATTGACTTTAATGTAATTAATAGTTGTTTTATTTTAAACTCACTTAGTATGCATAATTTTTGCTGACTGAAATAAATGTAATGTGGGGTTGGAGAGGGTTTTTAGGTGAAGAAATAGACTCACATCAAATAGGGTCATACTCCCTTTGATGAGTCTCCTATTGATGAAGTTCCATGGAGCACAGTTAAATTAAAAAAATAAAAAACGCAACAGCTTCATATTAACCATTCTTAGAAGCTTAAACGAGAATTGATATTAACCTGTTGGGCCAAATTCCTCTTAGCTACTTCCACTTCCTTGTGGAGCTCCCTCCTTCTGTCAGATGTAGTATCCTCTTTAGGGAAAGCTTCCATCTGCAAATCAAAAATTAAAGCAGACATTTGTACAAGAAAGAAGCTTTCAATGCCATGTAGCAAGTCCACCAACTACGTTATGAAAACAGTGGGCAAATCCTGATTCTCTCTTCTAGAAATTGCCTATTATGCTAAATATTCTTTATAAAATCTTGGCAAACTAAAATAGGAGGAACGGCCAAAAAATCTATACATATATACACATATTACCATCTGTATATACTCGTATTTTCCACTCATTTTGAAATAATATAAATCTTACAAATAATAGCTAACACTCATTGAGCACTGACTATGTACCAGGCTTGGTTTTAAGTGCTTACATGTATGACTCATTTAATCCTCATAATAACCCCATTTATATCTTTAATTGTACAGATAAGGAGAATGAAGCATAGACATTTAAACAACTTGCTGCAGTGGTGCAGGTGCAAACCCAGGCAGTTAGGCTAGAGCTCATGATATTTTTTTTGTGTGTGTGATTTGGGTGAAAGTTTACAGAGTAAATTCATTTACCATACAGCAGCTCACATACACTTTGTCTCAAGACATTGACTACAATTTACCACAATGCAACAGCTCCCCTCCCACTTCCTCCCCATAGTACCTCTTCCCTGTGTCCTTCCCTCTATGAGCTCCTGCCCTCTGAGCTGTGTCCCTGTGCATACACAGCCCTTCTATTCTCCCATGATTGATCTCTCCAAGGAGTGTATCTACCTAATGTAAATGTTCAGCTCATATGCCTATCTTTTGTTTGGCTGGAAGCCACAAGAGTGGGTTCAATTCCAGACCTGAAGGGCAGCTAGGGGCCATAGTCTCAGTAGTTCCATCAGGCTCTATCAGAGCAGCAAACCTGCCCCCCCCCTTTTTAAAATGATTTTGAGTTTTGTTCCACACTGTTCTCCCACTCTATCCAGGATCTCCTATATAGATCCCTCTCTGAGTGGTTGACAGTGGTAGCCAGGCACCATCTAGTTCTTCTGGTCTCTGAGTCATATAGGCTAAGGATCACATGGTGTACAAGTCACCTGAACCAATTGTTTCAATGAATCTTTGGTTTTCTTCTTTCTTCTTTGCTCTGGATCAGGAGAGACCAATCATTGCATCTAGATGGTCACTTGCAAGCTTTTAAGATCCCAGTTGTAGAGCTCATGATTTTAACACAGCATTACACTGCCTCTCTAACTCAAGACTAAGCACTTTGGAAATGTGACTTTTCCAATGGCAGTTATTATACTTACAACATATGAGTTCATTTATGAAATCCTATAGACTAAAGAAAAAAATAGAAGCTATTAATAGCAGTGGGAATAGTTGGCTAATTTTATGTAGTAGGCTTGGTGAGTAGCTGGAACATTTGGAACACAAAAGAACAGCCTCAATATTTTTTTGGTGATGACTGAAGTTTCACTATTACATTTCTGCTATATTGGCTATGATTTTGTCTTCTGTTACAGTACATCAGGGAGAGGGCAACATCTTATTATATCAGGTTTTGTTGCCTTGTCAAGAATGAGCTTGCCAAAAAAAACTGGATATCCACCTGCAGAAAAATGAAACGTGATCCATACCTCACCTCGTACACAAAAACAAACTCAAGCTGGATCAAAGACTTAAATGTAAAACCCAAAACTATAAAATTCATCAAAGATAAAATAGGGGCAAATCTGGGAGCCCTAATTTATGGCATAAATAGACTACCAAGCATAACTCAGAATGTGCAGGAGGTAGAAGAGAAGCTAGATGACTGGGACCTTTTAAAAATTAAGTTCTTATGTGCATTGAAAGACTTCGTCAAAAGGGTAAAAAGAGAGCCTACAGGTTGGGAGAAAATATTTGCCTATGACATATCTGATAAAGGACTTATCTCTAAAATCTATAGAAAACTTCAACATCTCAACACCAAAAAGACAAATAACCCAATTCACAAATGGACAAAAGATTTGAGCAGACACTTCACCAAAGAAGATATACTGGCTGACAACAAACACATGAGAAATTGCTCACAATCATTAATCATTAAAGAGATGCAAATCAAAACAACAATGAGATATCATCTCACCCTAGCAATAATAGCAAAGTTCAACAGGTCAGAAAATAACAAATGCTGGCGAGGTTGCAGAGAGATTGGATCTCTTGTGTACTGCTGGTGGGATTGTAAAATGGTACAACCATTGTGGCAAATGGTATGGCATTTCCTTAAAAAAACTGAAAATAGAAGTGCCATTTGACCCAGCATTCCATTACTAGGAATATATCCTAAAGAGGTGAAAGATAGCGCATAGACATATGTACACCTATGTTCATTGCAGCACAATTCACCATAGCAAAGAGATGGAAACAACCTAAATGCCCATCAGCAGATGAGTGGATAACCAAATTATGGTACATGCACACAATGGAATATGCTACATTAAAGAACCATGAGGGATACGCAAGTCATCTTACAACATGGATGAGCCAGGAGGACATTTCGCTGAGTGAAATAAGTCAATCACAGAAAGACAAGTACTGTATGAGCCCATTACTGTAAAAAGACACAGAAGGGTTTGCTTAGGAAGGGAACTCACTTTGTAGGTTATTGGGGTGGGGAGGGAAGAGGAAGGATTAATTTCAGGTTAGTTGGGGCCTACACGCTGACGTGGGTAAGGGGCGGGATATATGGAAAGGGTTTGTGACCACCACAATAACATTAGGAAATGGGAGGACACTGAATTGTGCACATAAGAGATAGATGACAGATGCTAATACGAACCAATG